TTCCCAAATAGGTCCGTCCCTCCTATTTTGTGGCTGGGAAATTTTACATTGAAAAAAAATAATCAGGATAGCTTTTAAAAAAGCAAACGTATCCTAGAAATCATTGCTCCATGTAGAAATGACTGGGGATTTTGGGGGGGCGGTTTGTACCCCCCCTGCCCTCCAACAATTCAGTCGGTTTCCCAACGTCTCGGCAGGAGAATCCTGGTGCTACAAACATAAGCCAGTAAACCGGAGACCCTTTGGCGCTCCAACGACTGAGCACACCGGCCAGGGCAATAATAGGAAACCCTAAACTCCCCACTCCTATGGCCCGCAGGCCCCTTGGGAGAACACAGCCCGCGTTCTGCGCGAAGCTGCGCCCCGGCGTTTATTACAGCATCGTCCGTAACAGGCTGGAAACAACCAGTTCCATGCATCTGGGCACTTCCATTAGGTGGAATATTAGACAGCCATTTAAAATGAGTTATATCTGCATCTGCCGATCTGGAAAGTTCTCTTAAGAAATATTACTAAGTGGGAAGAAAAAAGAAGCCCGGCCCCCGGGAGCATGAGCGGCCCACTAACACTTGAAGATAAAAATATCAAGCGATCCAATTTCATGGGCAACCTTGAGGACATTACGCTCAGTGGGATGAGGCAGACACACGGGGACGCACAGTGTGTCATTCCACGTCCGCAAGGTCCCCAGAGCTGGCAACGCCACACAGGCGGGAAGCAGGTGGGTGGGTGCCAGGGGCTGGGGAGGGGACTTAGTGTCTCATGGGGACAGAGTTTAAATTGGACAAGATGGGGAAGGTCCTGGAGGTGGTCAGTGGGGGCGGTTGCGTAGCAGCCTGAACGTGCTTAGCGCCACGGACTTGTGCACGTCGCGGCTGAGACGGCCAGTTTTGTATTAATGTGTATTTTACCGCCATGAAAAATAAAGCAAAGGCCTAGATTTGTACGTGGACAGCAGGTCCTGGGAAAGCTCCACGATGGGAGGGGATTCGAGAAACAAAGCGACAGGGACGGGAGAGACACTTTGTATCATGTTCTTCTTTGTAGCATTTGGATTTTGTTACTGTATCTTCTTTTAAGCGTCAGAGAATGACACATCATGACAGTAACCAAATATGCTTTAGCAGCCTATGTTATAAATATACAGTGTGTGCTCATGTGTAATTTATATTATGTATTTATATTAATGTATTGTTTATATAAATATATAATGTGCATTTTTAAGGCCGATTTATGGGCATCTATTTAGCAGCCTCTGACCTACTTTGCAAGAGCAGGACCCGGCTCGGTCGTGGCTAAAGGGTGATCTGCTCCCGGAGCGATGGCGCTGGGCCTGTACTTTTCCACTGTTACGTAAGGGACAGAGCCTCCGGCTGCCGGCTTCACTTGCGCGTCCTGTAATCATGTGTGAGACTTTCCCTCAGCGCCTTCCTGGTTTTTTTTTTTTTTCCCTTTTCTCTTTTCTTTTTAAGAGAAACAATCATGCCTCTTGTGGCAAGAAAATTGTGGCAAATATGAAACAGGCACTAAAGTGACAGAGGAAGGAAGACGTGTCCCCCGGGCAGACAGCCGATTTGAAGGCGCGTGATCGTAAGTGGGAGAGACAGCCCTCGGCGGCAGCCTGCTGCGTCCACGGCCATCTCCCCCGACCCTGCCCTTGTCACTCTCCTGAGGTCACCTCGGCAGCCGTGTTCGGGTCATATTCCAGTGGCCTGTCCACAGCACCAGTGAACTCAGGTCCCTGAGGGCGTCCTGGGCACCCACCTGTCCCCTGTGGCCCCAGAGACACAGGATTGGGGGTGCAGATGGGGGTGGAGGAAAGTGTAGTGTCAGGGACCTGGACACCCCGAGTCCGAGTCGCCGCTGCTCATGTCACTCACTCAGGGTGACACTCAGATAATTGAGCCTCGGAGCAGGACGGAGATGCCACCTCGTTCCCAGAGTGTTTCTCGTGGGTGTGGAGCTTATAGCGGGTGATGGCCACAGAGACGGGCACCAGCCAAATCAGCCACGAAAGCAGCCTTCCCACAGTATCCCACTTGTATGGTGCCCACGGTGACACCAAGTCACCCATCCCCTTTTCTTGGGGACCGTTGAATGTTTGGGTCCCGGACGTCGTTTGTCATCATCGGGCGCTGAGAGGCCTGGGCCCCTCAGGAGCCCTGAGGACCGAGTGTCCTCCAGCCCCGGCCCCGGCCCCGGCCAGCCTCCTAACTGAGTTTCCTCGAAGACAAAATTGCAGCCTCTACGCTGATTTCTCAGCGGATCCCGGTCATCTCGGCATCTCCACTCTCTCTCCAGACAGCTTCTGAGATGCTGAAAAATGAGTGTTTCTGAATCGGGGGTCCCCTTGGGTCGCCTCGGCTACACAGTCACGGCGTCAGGGCCTCCGTGTGAAAAGTCTGCCCCGCCCGCCCCCCGCCGTGGCC